CTGCCTTCTCCCCTTCCTCATTCTCCACCAGCTTCTCCCCTCCTCCTTCTCCACCACCTTCTCCCTTTTCCCCTTCCTCCTCCTTCACCATCTTCTCCCCCTCCTTCTCCACCACCACCTCCCTTCTCCCCTTCCTCATTCTCCACCAGCTTCTCCCCTCCTCCTTCTCCACCACCTTCTCCCTTCTCCCCTTCCTCCTCCTTCACCATCTTCTCCACAGCTGGAAGTGACGTCACGAACACGCGATTACATCTGATTGGTTATAACACAAACCACGTGACAAAATATGCAAATTATCTCCTGTACCGGCCTGAATATAGACAAACCCAGTCCCATTGAGTATGCAATGTTGACCAATGCTAGACGTGATGCGGCCATGATACCGAGGCTCGCCGAGGATTGACACTTTGTGTCTTCCAATCACAGTCTAGGCCGCCCCCTTATCTTCTAACTTTTTGAGTACAATACCATTTCGCACTGGAATCGCCGATCTCACGAACTAGAGCATTCTGCTAGGCTAGAACGGTTTCCTACGATAGAGTTTTGCACAAAAACGAAAATAACACGCCGTTTAGCGCACTAAGCTACGTACTTTTGTTGCATTTTGGCATCTCCGTAATAAGAATAAGCCCCGCCTTCTTCGTTGATGGGCATGAATGGGGCGTCACCGACGTGACCGGTTCCTTTCCCCAGCCTGTTTTCTTTTCGTAAATAATGAAATGCCCGGCCGATGCATTTTGAATCGAACAGGAAAATTTTCTGCATAATTTTCACTTGCTGTCCGAAGCAAACGAGTGCGTCATTCATTGAACAATTCAATAAAACACACACAATTAATGTTCGGAAGCTAATCCGAGCTAATGTTTACATGCCACAGCGCCATCTCTTGGATGTTTTATAAGTAAACATGGGAATTTTCAATAAAATAATGCGTTTTTATATGTATTTACCACGATTTACGTATAGAAACTATATGTTATTTTTACTGATTTCTCCGTATCTTTCCTCGGAGTTTTCATCGTCTTTCAATGCCTTTCGGTAGGTTTTCTGCGTGATTATTATTTTGCGCAGGCACTCATTTTGGAAATCCTCCAACATTTTTACTTCTTCCTTAGTTAAGTTAGTCGATCTTTCACTGTTATTTAGGAAGGAAGGTCAAAGTGTGCATTCGTATAGTTTTACTCTTGCTTCTATAGTATGATTTCCATAATTTTGCTCTTAATTCTGCCCACGATAATATTTCCCTCGTCATGAACCTACATTTTTAAGTTCGGTCTCTTATCATATCGTTATAACCTCCTATATCATTAATTAAATCCCCTAGGTATGAATATTTGGTGCATTTTTTTAATACTTGGTTGCCTATTAAATTCTCTTTCTTTTCTTTGTTTGTAAATGTTATAACCATTGTATTTGTTTTGTTCATATTAAATTCGAATCTTTTTGATTCAGCTAATCTGGAGAATGACTGACCAATTTTTGTTACGGTTTTATAATCTCCAATTCCTACAATATCGTCAATATATAATCATTGTCATTTTCTAAAACGACAGACCATCCACTGACCGCTGTGGAGACGTGCGCCGGGCCTCGAATTTGGTGCACGTCTCCACTGCGGACAGCGCTTCATACTTGAACATCCCCGCGGTCGCGTGCGCATATCCCGAGGAACTGCGCGTCTAATCCGCGCGCAGCGCTTAGGATCAACAGCAAAGCTGTGCCACGCAATCTTGTATCATGTCTCTCCGGATTACCTGGCACCTTGTGTAGTTAATAAGTACATATATAACCTTATAGCCAAATGCGTATTAGTTTGTCCAATATCACTGCTGGTTATATATACATTACAAGGGTTCAGGGATAGAGAACATGGGTCCCAATAAAACCAATATCATTTACATCAATATAAATATAATATTATATCAATATAATAGGTTAGGGTTATGGTTATGGTTAGGATTAGGGTTAGGGTTAGGCACATTGGTTTTATGGGGACCCATGTTCTCTATCCTTGGGCCATTAAAAGCAAGACTAAACCGACCAGGCTCTTCGACTGTTACACGACGGAGGATTAAGCGACGTATGTTACGCCACGTAGTGTTAAGCGAGATGGGAACTTGTGGCTAAAGCAAGACTAGCTCTAGTAACTATAGGCTATAGCTCATACTCATATATATACCGCGTTCGCACGGTCATTGTTTGGCTCGAGCCTAATGGTCTAAATTTGGCTCGGGCTAAATTTGGCTTGGGCCGGTTTGAGTCAGAGCGTTCACACGAACACAAGTGAATACCGGTACTGTCTGTCAAATTCAAATTCAAATTCAAATACATTTTATTCCACAAATATCTTACAGATACTTTGCCAGTATGTCGCGAGATGGCGTTGTGTATGATTCAGAGTGTTTACTTCCGTTCCGCGTTGAATAGGTTGGGGGCGGACATCCGGGAACTTTTGACAATTTGACCGGATGTAGATTTGAGCCGATGAAAACAAACTGTAGTAACGCACTGCTCAATGCACGCAGCGCATAGTGCCAAGGAATTATGTGGTGTTTGGATGCCGCAATCACACTCACAGTCTTTCAAGTGACAAAAAACGCTCATTCTTTGAGCTGCCGTAGCCCGAGAGGAGAGACAGATGGCTAACAGCAAATAGTCAGGAAAACGAAGACGGCTTCCACTGGAGTCCCGCCGGGTCAATGACTGTTTGTTCTGACCACTTTGTCACAGCCACAGCCTAAGTAAGATTCATTTCAGTTTCTGTTTCTTACTCTTAGAATCAGATAATTTTAAAACAGCTTGGGAATCAAAATTACACGTGCAGAGATCCCATTTCCAAGCTTCAGTCTAGACTTAATTACTACCACTACTACTACTAGTACTAGTACTAGACCAATAAATTAGTCTAAAATTATAGTAGTCATATATAATAGTAAAATTAAATTATAGTAGTCTGTAGAGCTGTCATTGCTACCAGAGAACAGAAAATCAAATAATTCTAGCTGAGCCTGAAGAAATGAAGCAAGTGGATCTGAATGCTTAAGTAAAAGATTATAGTGTAGATAAGGGTAACGAAAAACTATGAATATTTAAAATTTTGGAATTATTTTTCTTCATGGCAATAAATAATAAAATATAGTCCTTTGCAGAGATAATTTACAAAAACTTTCTTTCATTTTTTATAGAACGGCCATCGAAAGATTCTCTACATCCAGATTATCTCCCATCAATTTTCCCCCACCGACCCAACAGTCAACACAGAGCAGAACACAGTTTAAAAAGATACAAGCGTCACGACTCACAAGGACACCGACTTGAAGAGAACATGCACCAAACGTCTTCAGTTTGAGGATCCTGAAGGGCTCGATGTCATCGAGGATTTTGTTCCTCTCGAAGAAACTGCCTCCATTCCCACTCAGACAGGATATATATATACGGATAGGATTTTACTGTTGTTTGTATTACATTGTTTGGGTGATGACTTGTACATAATGACGGCCTGTAAATGACGACTTTGGCGGGGGTATTCATATGGATTTATCATTAGAGAAAATGTGGACTTTGACTTCCATGACGACTTAAGCGAATTGACGTGTTAAGGCTAACTCATGTCGCCCTTACGACCTAGTCGCCGACAAAATTTGAAGATCGTACGTCAAAAACCGGCCAGATCGCCGATAAAAACATCGGCGACTAAACTCGACACGAGTTCTTTTACGATCGAAAATACGGTCGCCGACTGCGATCGCAGGAATAGAAACGGTTCTACTTCTATGCGGCGGTCGGCGACAAATCGTGAGTGGCAGCCAATCACTGCTATGTGTCGAGTCACATGATTATCAAAAGTCACGCGATTAACAAAATGGCAGCCTACACATCAGTTTACAAGGAGGGATTATTGCACAAACCCTTTCTCAAATATATATTAAGTTTTCCGTATATCACAGGCAATTTTTAAAATTCTTTTTCTGCACATGATTATAACGATTTTCAGAAAATTGAGGATAGATTTACGAAGTTACCCGATGTTTACTGGTAAGTGCCGTTTTGTTGATCATGCATGTGACTCATTTTATGTAGACTTGTCCCGGTGTCAAGCTTGCTCTGTTTGTGCTAACCCAGCTAGCAAAATATTTGGGACCCATATGGGCGACATGTGGGCATATCAGGGCAACACATATGGGTTCCACTTGGGAAACCCACATAGTTCCCAAATGGGTTTATATGGGGCCCATATCTGCCCACTTGTTTTCCATGAGGGAAATGCACCCGGGTTTTCAGTTGGGGCCGATCTGGGCAAACCCGGGCAAACCTGGGCAAACCTGGGATCAATCTGGGCAAACTAGGCAAACCTGGGTACCATATGGGTCCATATAATACCCAGGGTTTCCTAGTCGAGACTACCTTCATCGAGTCATCATAGAGGGTGCAGCTCCCACAGGGTTGTGAGATGTTGGCACATTACATGTGGCAGCACATGCAAACTACCCAATACAGTACGTACCACTGATATGTGCTGCCACATGAATGTGACATCTCTCAATATTTCAGTGTTTGTGGTCTGGCAGGATCAAAGATGCAAGTTCAGAAATTTATTGAAAAACTACTTTATTGAAAAACTGTGAGAACTGTGAAATGTTTTATAACATTAGAAAATATTCAAAAATATGGGAAGATATTAAAGGGATTACATTACCGTACATAGTAAAAGTAAATGAGTGTCAATGACACTATAGCTCACCATTATATAGCATATCTCCCATTATATACTCTTGATAATTATATATGCGTAATATTTGAACGCAAAAATAAATGTTTCAGATTTGAAAGTCTGAAATCTGGGCGAGAGATGGCGCTACACCTAAATGATCACCATTTTGGTTTTTGATTATCGCGCAAAGAAAAACAATAAAATATTCCAGTCAAATATTACTGTAACAAACAATCTAAAACACAATATTACACGTAAGTAAATGAAAGTGTCAATGACACTATAGCTCACCATTATATAGCATATCTCCCATTATATGCTCTTGATAATTATATATGCGTAATTTTTGAAAGCGAAAATAAATGTTTCAGATTTGAAAGTCTGAAATCTGGGCGAGAGATGGCGCTACGCCTAAATGATCACCATTTTGGTTTACGATTATCGCGCAAAGAAAAACAATAAAATATTCCAGTCAAATATTACTGTAACAAACAATCTAAAGCACAATATTACATGTAAGTATGATTGTAGAGTTGTTAACCAGTTAGATTGACATTTTTCTGTTATTTTGGTCAAAGGTACGAGTGGGTATAGTACGCAACCACAAGTTATCTTCTCGCATCTCGCTACCCCTAAAAAAAACTGCAGCAAACACGCAGTTAAGAATGACTCAAATTACCTACATAATCTACCTAATTTGTATAATTTAAAAAAAACATCAAAACCCGTTTTGGAGCAAGTCCTTATTCATTCACATACCAAAAATGAGCAAAATCCGTTAAACCTGAACCGAAATATGGCCATTTCCATTATTAAAGTGGGCACAGCTCGAAAGTAGGTCATCTGGCGTGCTCCAAAATAGGACGTTCACATCTCTCCCATAGGAGTAACAACTGTATGCAATTTGAAACGTGAAAGCAATATGCAAATGTGGGTCAAACGGTTCTCAAGTTATTGTTGACCATAGCCAAATGTTGACGGACGGACGGACGGATGTACGATGCCCCATGGCGATGTCAAGGTAAGCTAAACAATTTGAGAATGCATTTAGTGACATTAGACTTACTTTTCATGTAAAAAAATTGCAACAAAATTTTTACAACTATACACCATAGAAAATTCATGACGTAGTCAATTTAAACTTACATAAAATCCACTATCAAGTGCGTGGATTTTCCATGCATGTGGATTTCCCACGGCCATTTCCATGCGCGTGGAAAATCCACGAGCCTGGCAACACCACATGCGTGGATTTTTTGTAAGTACGGGACACTATATCCTATCAATAAATTAGCCAAACACAACTCTACTAATTTCCACAAGTTATGGTGCCTCTGGTTTGATTCTGTCTGAAGCAGAATCAGATTAGTGTCGATGCCTGCCAGGTGGACATTGTCGGCATTGTATTTGGCTAATATTTAATATTTAACACGATCAATCCTCTGGTTTTTTTGACAAAGTGCCCTAAACTGTAGCAGTTAAAATGCCTGTTACACATAATACATATATAAACTGAAAGGAAATTTTTATTTGAAACTATTTCCAAACAAATTCCAAAGGTTTCTAGTTTACAATGGTCTGATTTTTGTGGGTATGTGACATTTTAAACAAAAGTTAAGCCTTTCAACTAAGCCATGTTTTTTTAACACCCAGTATTATTACATTTCGTTTGCTGCAATTGGTCCTCCGGTCCAAATTTAGATCTCCTCCTCTTGGCCTGGTTCCTCCTGTTCCTGTTATTTTCCTCCTTAATTTTGCAATGCGGTCCCTCTTAGTCTTCCCTCCTTGCCTATCCCGAGCTCCGGTGAACCAATCAGAGATCGCTTCTTCTATACCTTTGTCAGTTACGTTTTTAGCTCATCTGACATAGTCAGATGCAGCTTGTAGAATTGCATGATCGTCCGTCCGTCCGTCCGTCCGTGCGAGCGTCCGTCCGTCCGTCCGTCAACAGTTGGGCACAAATCTTAACCGCTCGACGTACGGTCACGATATTCGGCACATCGGAGGGGGGATTGTCAAAACGAGTTGGGATGTCGAAGCTGGGGGTCAAAGGTCAAAGGTCAAGAGGTGTAAAAGAAGGGGGAACATTCACTCCTTAACTTAAGGTATAGGAAGGAAATGCAGAATTGCGGCACAAATCTAAACGGCTTGACCTAGGCTCGTGATCGTTGGTGTATAGCATCACGTAGGAAAAGCCATCACTGTGCCGAAATTGGAGTCACAGGTCAAAGGTCAATGGGCACAGGGCAGATTTTAGACATTTTCTGAGGACATGTTCTGACGGAGCGACTTGAAAAACTTTTTTTTCAGCGGTGACCTAGCATTTTTATGGCTTTATTAAAGCGACCATGAAATGTACCTTCTGCTGACATGCGAAGAGTAAGTGTCGGATAACCTTTGACCCCGCAAGAGGAGGTTAAACATGGATTTGTTACTGTCTGTTAGCAAAGAATTGACTGCCGGCGTTTGCTAGTAGAATCTATACATGCCTGGATGTACAGGCTACAAGTTCACAGGTGAAATTTCAAAAGCTAAATTTGGTTGAAGAAGGTTTATGCTCCTTAAATCGTATAATTTCTATCGGCATTCTGTACTGTCAGGATGTTACATGTAACGTATGCACCTGCCAGTGGCCACTGCCAGTGCATGTGGTGGGGTACTGGTGTGTAGTTTTTGCCTGCCTTAATTGTTACAGGTGGCAGCTCTCTACTGCAGCCTGTAGGCTTGCGTAGGTAAATGGATGAGTCTTACCTATTCTGTCTTGCAAAAGTTGTTGCTACTACGTACGATGGAGCTTCCATCTTTAATCTGAAGACACTTTAAACGTACGTGCCATCTCGTGGCAACTTTCATAACGATCCCAACGAACATTCCTTTGAGAGGTTCTGATACCATCCCTGTGCATTCACTGTTTCGGCGTGTATGTGAACACATTTGAGACTAACAGGGTTTACTAGAATCCACCACTCCACCACAGAGTCACCGCCAGTAGACGTTAGATGAGCGCTGTCACTCCCGCGGCACTTGTTTAAATTACTTGTCTTCTCCTCACACTTCCTGGATAAAAAAAATAAATGATTTACACTTAATAAACTGGAATGTTATTCACACTGGAATTTTATACTTATTTCCCTACCCGAATCAAGACTTCAATGTTTTCACTTGGTCATATATATCATATACAGTAAAACTCGCATAAGTCGACACTTTTGGGACCAGCATATTTGTCTCGACTTACGAAAATGACGACTTACTCATAATTCTTCATTTTGTTGACTTATATACAATGTATGTAATGCATGTATACACTGTAGTAGCTGCCTTGCGATCGCTTCAACGAGCATGCATAAAGAACAATGGATATTAAGCAATCACTGCTTACAGTCATGTACACAACATATATGCACACAGCAACAAGTCAAATGATGCGCAAGCTTCTCTGCGTTCACACAATGTACATCGTGCATCACATAACGCCATCGTTGACTGTACGTACTGTATAGCAATCATGAGTACGCGCGGTGCGTGTGACTGTGTGTGCGCGTATGCAGCACGCGTGCCGACGTGTGC